GTATTTCAATTTTTAAAAACATGAAGTTAAGCGAAGGGATCTCTTTTCAACAGATTTATTACCAAGCTGTATGATTGTATATAGCTATATAATCGGTATAGCGGAGTTTGTAGAAGAACTTTCTTTATTTTTTTTATTTTATTCCTTCCATTTTTGTATTTTCGTATTTTAACTATTCTCTACCTTCGTCTCTTGATTCTTACATAACTATAATATTACTGACTGTTCATCAAAATATTTTGTTAGTTCTTTCTTCCTGTTTCATATATTATGCAACATAGCAACAGCTTGATTTTCGAATAATTACTTTGAAAAGAAATTTCTTCGCTCGATTAGTTCCTCTTTTTTTATCAAATGTCAAAATGGAGATTTTCACTAAATTAAAAAGTTTTTTGTTAAAGTACTAATTACGTGGAGAAATGTGAACCTTCATTTTAGCTTCTGAACAAGCCAATCCACCTGTCCATCATTAGTCATGTTTTCACCTTGTCAATTATTAACATATTAACGCCGACTACTTTTTTTATGAGCGTAGATGTGTGTACACTTCATCTCATATCTGTAACTTATTGTTGTTTGACTATAAATATTGACTAACGCTTGATTACAGTGAGTTGGCTTACCCGCCATCTCCAATGCGTGTCACTGTTGTTTCACTCGCTGATATTTACTCATATGCTTATAACTTTCCGCTCTGCGTCATTTGTCAATGAAACTGTAGCTGCCGCTTCTCTTTGCCTTCTAATGTTATGCACCGTTAAGATTTGTATTATGACGGTTATCGAGGTGAACGATTAGCGAAGCACAGCACTTCAAGATTATGTACATATATATCGTTTTTTTTCTACTTAATTCTTTTAAACAACTATACGAATTAAACAAAATTTACCCGGAAGCTTTTTTCACACTTTAATATGATGATTCAATTGTATATTTTGCCAAGGCAACAACTAAATAAAAGAATTTTGAATTCCTCACTTATTCTGTTTACTTCTGATTTCATGTATCATTACACAGTTAAATCATTCAATGATTAATACCATATGATTTAAAATTTAACAATTAAAATAATAGAAATACCGTTAGTTTACGTCAGAGACAGACTGCAATTGATTATATTTTTTTTGTATTTACGTAAAAATGGTGTGTTGTAGCATGGAAACTGTTTGTTTGTTTGTTGTTTTTTTTGTTTTTTTACACATAAATGAATTTCACAAAAGTAAATTGATATGGTGACAATGAAAATAACGATAGTCATATTCAGTTTATTCATCAGAAACTTATATCATTTCATTTATACATAATCAATATTCACTTAAAAATTGAAAAATATGTGGTGACTTTTTTTCTTAAAAAAAAGTGCTAAACAGATAGGTAAATGAATATGGATATGAAAGTCCTTAGTCCCGTTACCTTACATGGCTGTGGATGTTTACTTTTGAGGAGTCATATACTAAGATAAAACAAACGCCTAATAATCCTTACTTATCATTACTTTTCTTGTTACATTCACTTCATGATATGCTAACTGTATTTATGTACTCATTAATGATTAATTTTAATCGTTCTCGAAGTTCTGATGAAAATCTGTGGTTAATGGAATTTTAACCTAATTAAAATGGAATTCACAACTATCAAAATAATGTCGTTGTTTACTTCTCCGTAGTTAAGTATAAACTGAAGAAAAATGCTTACTATTCAAATTCACATTTGTTAACTAATGTGCTTTTGTGAAGAGTTTTGATGAAATTCAAAGTCAATTTTTTCTCAAAACCTGATGTAAATGAGAAAACCATATGGTGAATAACAATAAAGTGGTTAATATTTGAACGAAGAATATTCTATTCGTGAACACCTACGAGCGTGGCTAAGTAAAGGTCTGGTGAAGAAAGTAAACAGCTCGATATTGATCTATTTAGTACAAACTGGTCATAGTGCCAGTATAAACCAATCCTTCTCAATTATTTATAGGGTCAGTGATATTTCGCTAAAGCTTGTCAGGCTTAAAGTCCTTCAAACGGCTAAAGCAGTAGCCATTCGGACCATCATCGAGAACCTGGAAGCACTGTAAGGCCATTCCGCCCTAGGATGGAATTCCTCTGAAGTGTACATCCACGACCCCGCACGCACGGATCAAACCTAGGACCTTCGGTCTCGTGGGCGAATGCTTAACTTCTAGACCACTGAGACGGCATCCAATAGTAGAGACAGGTATCTACCTCAAACAATGGGAGGTGGTCGCGCAATATGATAAATTGGTTGGAGTTAAACATTGACACTTTCGGATGCCCGCTCAATGGTCTAGAGGTTGAGTGTTTGCACGCGAGATCAAACATCCTGGATCCAAATCTCGTGTGCAGGATCGTGGTTGCGCACTTCAGAAGAGTTCCATTCTAGGACGAAACGGCCGTTCAGTGCTTCCAGGTTTTCAATGGTGGTCTAACATTGATCTATTCATGATTTCAATCAAAAATGAACGCATACTTAGGCAATTACTTATCTAAAAACACTGAGCTTTTAGCCATCTAATTATAAGTTCATCTTACATGATAAATATAACTCGCAGAATAATGAACATATGTATTTATCAACTTTTGTAACAGATTTAATTTTCTTTTTTACAAACAAAATGTACGTATCATATCGGATCATAAAGATATTAAGTATATTTCTATTTTTAGTAACTAGGTAATTTTTACTCGGTTCATTAATAAATCTCAAAACTATAATTAGAGGCAGTCTATTTATTCCTTCAAAAGTTCATTGTTCAACAAGCGATGTATGAATATTTAACTGGAATTTAAACATACTAACTAATAAATCTTAGTTCATTGAACAAGTGGTAACATAGTTACCAATAGACGTGTATGCCTTAGGTCATATCTTTTACTAAACTATCATAGTAACATAGTTGAAGTCATACAATCTTATTAAATCGACAGAAAATTCTCATCGTAATAAGACACAGCTATTTGAACAAAGAATATTCTTTTCAATAAATTCCCATCAGTTTCTACAACCATATATCCCACTTTAATAACATCAAAGTGTCCAGAATAAAGGTAAAATACATCATTAAAAAGATGGTATCATGTGAATTTACAATTGTAAGATGTAATCAAATCGTTAGTATTGAGATGACTAATATGAAGTGTTAGCTTGAATAAGTTTATATGTTAAAATGAAATTATGAGATTAATGAACAAAGGTATAGTTAGAACTTTTAACAAATTTAGGGTATCTATAGCACATTAAATGGCCCTGGGCTTCCGAAAAATCCCGGAACATTTCTGAACATAGTTGCAGGATAAGCAATCATCCAATAATGTGACTCTTTACTTTCTAGATGTATCTGAGAGACTTCCTTTGAATGTTGATTGGATAAGATATTTCCCAAAGTTTTCATTGGCTCTGCTGGACTTTTTACGGGGAATTTTCTGGGTCTCTCCAACACTTCTCACACCTCAGATCAAATTACGAATACGCACAATCTGTTATTTTAACACACTTTTCGTTTCACAACATATATCTCATAAGCACTAAAGCAAATACCTACTTTAAACATTGTTAACATGATTGGATGACTTGTTAAGTATACAGTTAATCAGAGAACCATATACTTATTTATATTCGATAATTTTGATGTGTGATTATATTTCCTCAAAAAAGCTTGGATCAGATCGCCGGGTGAAACGTTTGATTTACTACAAATTCATTCGCTGAAATTTTACAAATACATTCTTCCTTTTTAATGTTTCCTATCAACTTAGCACCCAAATACTGTAAAACTGTTCGATCAAATTTAGACAAAAACATTTATAGATCAGAGGGGGTTTTGTGGAGAATTTAGTATTTTCACAGTTGAAATCATGAGTCAATTGAAGCTAGACCACCATGGAAAACCTGGAAGCACTGGACGGCCGTTTCGTCCTATTATGGGACTCCTCAGCAGTGCGCATCCACGAACCCGCTCTCGCGAGCGAGATTCGAACCCAGGACCTACCAGTCTCGAGCCGAAGCCCTTAACCGATAGACCACTGAGCTGGCATCCAACGGTGTTAATGTCTAACTTCAACCAATCCACGATATTGAGCGACCGTTCACCAATTGTCTCCAGTGAGATGATATCTCTACAACAGACCTGGTAGAACTCCACTGGCCACTGCTTCCCACTAGAACTCAAGGAAATATCTCTTGAAGTCAGTCACTAGTGAGCATATGATTATAGATCAGAGGGGGTTTTGTGGAGAATTTAGTATTTTCACAGTTGAAATCATGAGTCAATTGAAGCTAGACCACCATCGAAAACCTGGAAACACTGGACGGCCGTTTCGTGGACGGGATTGTGGATGCGCACTGCTGAGTAGTCCCATAATAGGACGAAACGGCCGTCCAGTGCTTCCAGGTTTTCCATGGTGGTCTAGCTTCAATTGACTCATGATTTCAACTGTGAAAAAAATTTATATCAAAATACTGTTAATGGTATTTCTTTAGTTAATAATGGAAATATTGGTGATCGGTGATCAATATTCTTAATTCCACTATTAATCTGAAAACCACTTCACAAAATATTTTAATTAAGTTTTAAACAAACAATAATTTATGGCAAAATCCGTGTTGTTGCTAAGCTTTAGTTGTTGTTCAAAATAACATCACCGGTATCTTATTTTGTTTAGTCGACTGTTACTTGAACAATGCAGTCAACTGTACTCTAAGGGTAATGTAAGATAACAAAATTTACTAGGACAACTAAACAAAAAAAAAGATCATTCGGACATACTGACCTAATGTTTGTGAAATTATTGAATACATGAAGTAGACATAGATGGTATCCAGAACGCTAATGAAATCTTCGTAATTAAATCATTTAGCTCAAAGAATGCAACATCATTAAAAGTATCTATCAGAGCTGCAAGACCTCTTTATCATCTTAGAATAATTATAACTATACATGGTTAATATTCTTATGGTATAATATGAACATTTATCGTATAACTTACAGTTTCTATAAGCCGATCTATAGCTGTAATACGGTGCTGTAATTCTTCAAATGAAATGGTCAGTTCTGCTTCTCTCATTCGTGCTTCACCTAATTCCGTTTGTAACGTTAAAAGTTCATTGGATGGATCTACTGCTGCTTCTCGTTTTTCCTGAAAAATAAAATAAAAGGAAACTAGAATTGAAGTTAGAACCAATCAGCCATTCGCTTTATAAATTTCATAAAACAAACATTCATCAACAGTTATGAAGATTACATGATACTCAGATAGAAAATACAATATTTTACGCCAACATAAAAATAAGTTAATCAACTATGCCTTAATTTAGAATATAACATGTAATGAGCATAATCTAGTCGAACAAAGCTACATAATTTAGTGGACAATGAAGGATGATTGCTAGACAAACCTACCTTTTGAAATTCTATCACTGAGCTATTGATGTCAGATCAATAAGATCTATTTTACCTTGAATATCTAAAGACATATGAAATAAAGCAGAGTGAAATATTTTATTTGACTGGATCAATAAGATGCTTCATCTTCTATTCCTTAAGTTTCCGATCGTTTGAAAATCACCCTAATTTCAGTCTCAATAATAAGTTGTTGTATTGGGATCTTTCAAGCTAAAGACTGTGAATTTCATTTGGTCCAAATTCATTATCCAGGTGTGATGTTTAAATAAATCAATGACTTCTTCGTATTGATGACTGTTGTAATTTTGAATTCCAAATACAATACATTCGTCCGGGCTCATCTGATACTTCTTGATTAAATTGCGTTATTCCTGGAATTACTAGTTCATACTACAATTCAAATACTTCTAATTATCATATTGGCGTCGCGATGGAGCCTGCGATACAACAGTTGGACATTCATTCAACTTCTGAAGCCTGTGAGGATTACCTTGAAAGGTTTGAAATATGGAGCATGACCAAGAAAGATATGAAGGGTGACAAAATTGTGGCACATTTTCTTACATTCATCGGTCAAGAAGCCTACAGTTTATTAAAAACCTTGGCATATCCAGATAAGCCGATTTCACTCCCATATACAACTCTCAAGGAATTACTATTAAACCATGTGAAGTGCACCAGTTTTGAGTGTCGTGAGAGAGCAAAATTTCATAAGATGATTCGTCAGGATAACCAGAAGGTTAAAGACTTCATCCTTGAATTGCAAAGACAAGCTGCCAAATGCAATTTTGGTGATCAGCTTCATGTACAGTTGAGAGATCGGTTAATTGCTGGAATTAACATACCAGGTCTGGAAAAGGAGCTGTTAAGAATGCCGAACTGTTCTTTTCAAGATGCTAGAACTGCATGTATTAACTACGAAGCAGTGAATGAACTTGATATTCAATCGATGAAAATTTCTAATACTTTGCTTAGTCGTCATGATGAATTACAATCTCAGGGTCGATCAAATTTGCGTTCGTTTAATCGTGATTGCTATTCCCGTGGAAATATGAAAGGTGGTTTAACAAGGAACTGCAAAGCAAACAACAAAGGTGAGAATAAGTTTGGTAAATGCTTATCTTGTGGCAAATTTCATTTTCGTAATTCATGTGCATTTCGTAATGCTAAATGTTTTAAATGTGGCAAGATAGGACACATTCAGTCAGTGTGCAAAACTACTGTTCACTTTGCTTCAAGTATTACTAAGTCTGGTAACTTAGATCCCAATAATTCGGCTGTTCTTGATGATCATTTATCTTTATCCACTACTTCAAAAGGGAATGTTCATATTCAAAAGCGATTATATACATCCCTTGGTTCATTTCATGACTTTATTGTGGACACAGGTAGTATAGAGTCCATTATTTCATTCAAGAACTTGAAATCTTTAGATCCTAATGTTGTGGTAAAACCCACTGAGGTCTCAATACTGGGGATTACTGGACACAGACTACCTATACGAGGATGTTGTAAATTGCTAATAAGAGATGATAATTCTTCATACGTACCTTGTGAATTTTTAGTTAGTGAAACAGGACTGTCCATACTGGGTTTAAAAAATCTGAAAAGGCTTAAAGTGGAATTGTCTCTACTAGTTTCTACAGAGAATTCTGATGCTTTACTCAAGGATTTGATAGCTGTGTGTGCTAAGTGTAGTGGAGGTATGAAAATTCAGCCCATTAAACTTCAAGTACAGGGTGATCCGGTCTTTCTTAAAAGACGAATAATTCCTTATGGTCTTCGAGAAGTAGTACATAAGTCACTGAATGATTTGTGTGCGAAAGGTATAATTGAACCAGTTCAGTCCTCAGCATGGGGTACTCCTATTGTTACGCCATTGAAATCGGATGGCAAGACCCCTAGAATATGCGGTGATTACAGATTGACACTGAACTCCCGTTTGTTGAAGCAAACATGCACGACGATGGAGGCTGAAGATATTCTAAATCGGCTTCATGGTTCTAAAGTGTTCTCGAAAGTTGACTTGAAAGATGCTTATCTTCAAATCCCTTTAGACCAATCTTCATCTATCTTGACAACAATTAACACTCCTTTTGGTCTGTTCAAATACAACTTCCTTCCATTTGGTCTTAGTTGTTCTCCAGCCATATTTCAAGAGGTCATGAATAAGATAGTCAGCGATATTGAAGGTGTTGAAGTTTATCAAGATGATCTCATTGTTCATGGTGCTGATAAAGTAGTCCATGACCAGAGACTTATTGCTTTATTGCGTCGTTTAATTGAGAAGAATATTACAGTGAATCTAAATAAGTGTTCATTTAGTGTATCTAGTTTTGAATGCCTTGGATACCTAGTTGATGGTAATGGTTTTAGACCAGATATGAAACGACTAGCTCCACTGACAAATGCACCGTCTCCAAAAAACATCACAGAATTACGTTCACTAGTGGGTGCTCTTCAGTACTATTCTCGTTTTATTCCTAATTTTTCTTGTCGTGCCAATTGTTTATTTAATATTTTGACATCCAATTCATTCAAATGGGGTGAAGAACAAGAGTCATGCCTACGAAGTCTGCTAAAGTTTCTTCAAAGTGATGCTGTCCTTCGAACTTACTCACCCAGTGTACATTCTGTTCTTATTACTGATGCGTCACCTGTAGGTATTGGTGCAGTTTTGGAACAGGAAGGTAGGCCAGTTATATGTGTTTCACGCAAACTTTCTGTTGCTGAACAAGGTTATTCACAAACGCAGCGAGAAGCGTTAGCTGTGTTTTGGGATGTTAAAAGACTTCATAAATATTTATTTGGAAAGAAGTTTACCATTGTTACTGATCATGAAGCCTTAAAGTTCATTTATCATCCTGACAAATCCTTAGCACGTTCCTCAGCTGCTATGGTTCAACGATGGAGTATTGCTTTGAGTGCTTATGACTATACGATTCAGCACAGGAGTGCAAAACAAATTCAACACGTTGACTACATTTCTCGACAACCATTACAAGATAGACCTGTTAATACTTCAGACTGCTTGTTAGTGCAACCTTTACCGGTGAGACGTCCAGATCTCATTAGAGAAACTCGTAGATACTTTGGATGTATACTCAGTGCTATACGGAAGGGTTGGAATGCTAATCTGAAACGTAGATTTCCTGTCTATTATTCAAAGCGGGACGAGTTATCTACTACTCCTGACGGTATTTTGTGTTTAAATGATCGTGTTGTTATTCCTCCTTCATTACGCAAACCTGTCCTTGATGATCTTCATAGTGGACATCTTGGTGTTGAGAAAATGAAATCCTTAGCAAGACTCACATGTTGGTGGCCAGAGATAAATGCAGATATATGTCGTACAGCAAACAATTGTGAGAAATGTCATAAGCTAAAAAGTCTGCCTTCGAAGTGGACTCCATGGCCAGTATCGTCTGAGGCCTGGCAGAGAATTCATGCAGACTACTGTGGTCCATTTCTTGGCAAATACTATGCACTTGTAATTATTGATTCTTTTTCTAAGTGGCCTGAAGTTTTTTTCACAATTTCACCGAATTCTGACTTCACAATTCAAGCATTAAGGAAGGTGTTTAGTCGAGAAGGAGTTCCCATGGTGTTGGTGACTGATAATGGCTCTCATTTTGCTGCAGATGCAGTCACTAATTGGTTAAATGGTATAGGGTGCAGACATCTGTTTACGGCTCCCAGGCACCCTTGTTCCAATGGTCAGGCAGAAAATTTCGTAAGAACATTGAAAATTGCTATTGATTCTATTACTGCTTCGACATTCAATGAACTGGAGAGGGGAGTAGATACATTTCTACTTCAATATAGAAATGCTAAGCATTCTGTGACGAAAGAGACTCCATCAAAGCTATTAAAAGGAAGAATTCTCCGTTCGAATATGAGGTGTTTGGAGTCTGCAGAAGTTACGTATTATCGTGGTAATGATCTTCGACCAGCCACGGGGATCGTGGTGAAGAATGTTGGAAAATCTATGGTGCGAATTCTGGATATCAATGACTTGACTATACATAACCGACACGTTGATCAAATACAATACCAGAATCCAGGTGAGTCTGTTCCAATTTCGGTTGTTAATTCTAATACTAATGAATGCATTCTAGATAATACAGAGTCTACATCCAATACACCGTCGGACAGATGTAAGATTAAATTAAGAAGAGGACGAACAATCGATTACAGACACTTACACTCCAATTCGAGCTGTGGCGGATGTGATGTTTAAATAAATCAATGACTTCTTCGTATTGATGACTGTTGTAATTTTGAATTCCAAATACAATACATTCGTCCGGGCTCATCTGATACTTCTTGATTAAATTGCGTTATTCCTGGAATTACTAGTTCATACTACAATTCAAATACTTCTAATTATCATACCAGGTCACTATCCTTTTTCAAGTGAATCGTTCTTGTTTTCTAGTTTTGAATTTATGAATGATCTCAAAAGGTTAATTGTTATATATATGCCCTGAGCAATCCGTGAACCATGATAAATGGGTGTTTATCTTATCAGTGGTGTTAATCGATCTGATTACGACGTGGTCACTAGTACAAGCGATTCAGTATCAGTGGTTAGAGATACTCGAAAAGGTCTGAACATACTTTTTGTCCTAGTTAGCTTTCATCAGGAAGATGGGTTTACGATCATGAGAGTACTGTTGCTACTTGTGAGATTTGGACTCAAGTCCACTTGTGTTACAGTTAAAGATGATATGT